CCTGCCCAGCCGCCGCTGACGACGCCCCCTTCACTGCTTCCGGGTCCTTTACCGTCTTATCATTGACCGGCACGGCGCCGCTATCAATGGCTTCCTGTGGCACCTGTACGACTTTTTCCTCAGCTCCACCTTCCTTCTCTTTCCCACCTCCCAGCTTAATCCACGGCCCATGAATCCCCCCAGCCCCTGCTCCCACCAAACCCCCCAGAGCCGTCGTCGGCACCGAAGTCACACAACCAGCGTCCCCAATCCAATTCCTGTTGCCGCGCCGATCCCTGCGCCTCCCGCGCCGCTCCTTGGAAAGTCCCACTCTTCAGGATCCGCGCCTTCTTACTGAGGCCTTTCGCTTCGATTTCTTGATCGTACATTTCTGACAAAACCCTCTCTCGCTCCTTGGGGTCGGTCAACAAGGCTGCTTTGGACTTTAGGCTGTCGACCATACATTGCGCCGAATCGGCGGCCTTGGCGACCTGGGCGGCTTGCATGAGACGCTCATCTTCGGTAAGTTGCTTGAGGTCGGCTTCGGAGGGGATGGAAATCTTGGGAGCGCCTCTATCTGAAGCCATTGTGCTGTGGTTGGCGTCCTCGATCGGGGCGCTGGGCCGCGGGTCGCCAACTGGGTGGTAGGTTGATCGCGTTTTGTGTCTGGCAAGATCGCTTGGCAGCGCCGTGGTTGCTATGCGGGAAATTTGCAGGACGCCATCCTGGATGATCTATGGACCAGCTTGAGGCACAACTGCGTGGTGTTCAGGTGAATAGGCTCGAAAGAGCTATCTCTTGTAAACTGAGTGTTAGGAAAGGGGCTTCAATGGCATCAGGAGAGCAATGGAAAGAATGACGTCTGGCCTGCAGGGATGCCATGTTTTTAAATTCCACGAGACCATACGTAGTACAGACAGCGCCGCCGCCCCTAGGCTGCTCCAAGGTAAGAGCCTCGCTATCTCCCCGCATTAATCGTTACACCGCCATCCTTCGACCAGACGTACAAATCGTCAGCCAATACAACGGCTTTCCGAACAATCTACGCTCCGGACAGCGGGCTTGGCTAAGCACTTTGAGAGTGCAGAGTTCAGTGTCTTGCTTAGCCACCCAGGCCCTTGTAAAATGACGCCGAAATTATAGCCCGGGGCCGCTATGCGACGTCCGAAAATACTAAGCACACATTGGTGACTAGTAGAAGTTTACTCCTCCACTGGGGTGAGAAGCTGTTGTTGCTGATTTCTGAGTTTGCAAGGCCCTTGAAGGTGTCTTTGTCTCCGTGAGAGTGTAGAACAACAGATATTAAAGATCAAGTCAGCTCATTCTTGGTGTCGGTCTGCTGTCCTGTTTGAGAACTCCAAGAGCTTTTTCGATGCGCTCTTCCTTGGGCACATTAGTAAATACGTTGGTCGTGGTTTGATGGACAGAGATTAGAGCTAGGAATAACATATCAAAAGATCACTGTTTTACGTTAGAAACTGGTAGAATGGCGTTGAATTGAAAATGATACCTGTCAGACGCTATTTCTACGCAAAATCCCTGCGTTTCGCCTGCTTTTGAGTGGTCAATTTCTGTCGCAATTTGTACTTATTTTCTGCGCGCCCTGCGTCTTTTTTTTGAGAGAGAACAAAGCCATTTCTTCTACCCGTTTGACAAAATCGCTGCCCTTATGCCGTCAGCTTCTTAACATTGCGTCGGACGAAGAGAGACATTGTCTTAACTCTCCTCCATCAGCTCTCCACCCACACCGGTACCGTAGCGCATGACATTGGTACTTGTCAACCTGCTGTGCAGAGTGCGTCGAGAAGCAAGTTGATTGATAGCTACGGGGGTAGAGAGCGTAGATCTATGTACAATTGGCTGTACCGTACAGCGAAATTAGAAGCGAAATTGCGTCGGAAATTGACCAATTAGAAGCAGCAGAAACGCAGGGATTACGCATATTAAACGCGGCCAATTAGCCCTCTCAGAAGGTCAACACACCCCCCCAGGGTCAAATCGTGCCGAATTGAGCCTGTATGAAGCTCACGATAGGCTCAGAAATCGCCTAAAACGGCAAAGCGTGGTGTTTCCTCCTCCTGCAACAGCTCATGCTCAACCTTTAGCACTTCTTGCCGTTCTCCTCCCAAACGGGTCGAAATATCCACCAAATTCAGCTGTTGAACGAACGCAGCGTGCTTCTGCGCAGGAAGCGGCTTTGTGAGGCCGTC